CTGTAATTTTTGGGTTCCATAGTAGATCTGATGTAAATGAGTTTCATATTAACTATTTTTATATAGAGGTAATTCTACATATCACTTAATATCAAGAAGATAACAAATGGGTGATTTTAATAATCACATTACTAAATTTTGATCCCTAAAGTTCTTGGTAATACCAATGTTCACTTTGTCTGGTTTTGTTGCAGCATGCCCCATATAACATACATTGTTTATTTGTAATGTTTATTTCCTCTTCTTTAACAATAAAAAAGTTTGACAAGTAAAGAGTAATAGTATATACATATAATGAAAAAATGATTTGATGGTGAAGACAAAGAGTAGGTAATCAATCATATAGACTATAAGAAAATTATTAAAAAAGGGAAGGTAATAAAAACTACAGCTAATTATCCATTCAGAAAAGTTTAATGTTTGCAAGGCCCATTATAGAGAGAATGGGGTTGTTTAAATGAATAAACTTAATCAATAGGTTGAGATAAAAATAAATTGCTGTTTATTTATTTAGGATGTATTTACAACATTATTATTTCTATTTTTTATTTTTTTTTCAAATTGGATACATTGGCTCATGTATGGATTTGTCACAATAACTATAACTAATTCCAAGCTTTATCATGTGAAATGGGCATGTAAAAATGTTCTTTGCAATGAGATCTTAATAATAGTTTCCAAAATAAAATTTTACAAATTTAATTTGATGCCAGTTTCTATCCATATAAATAAAATTAGTGACCAACAAAAATTTTAGCAAATGGCTATTATGGTATCAATCAACCAATAGAATTGAATTTGATGTTTATTGAGTTTAGAGTTTGCACAAGTTACAGAGACCTTTAGACTAAAAGGCTTTTCAAAGTTACTAATACCATCCCCACTATGAGGTTTTATGTGGAAATAAAATTTATTACCATGAGAATAAAATTTATATCCATAAAAAAAAAATAATCAACCACCACCATTTATTACTTCTATTGCATCTATATCTTTATTATCATCACCATTTTTATCATTTTTATCATTTTTATTATTTGAACTACCACCAACACCTTGATTATCACCATCACCATCACCACCATTATTATTCTTAATATCAGGTAATTTCTTATTTAATTTCAAATCCATCAATTCATTTTCATTTTCAGAAGAATTACTGCCATTTTTATTTCTTCTAAATTTTCTCCCTAGGCTATTATTGTTTGATGATGTAGATGCTTTACCAACACCAACAATTGAAACACTCATTAAACTGGGTAACATTGCAGCAGCATGAAAGCCCTCCGATCTTTTTTCTTGCTTATTATCAACACCATTACCACCAAAATGTGCTTTAAATCTCCCACCCCTCAATGTTTTAAAAACTTTCAATTGGCTTTCAACTTTCTTAAATGCATTATTAACTTCTTCTTGTTCTTCAAATGTACCTTCATTATCACCACCAGCAACAGTATTACTTGAATAATCTGAGTTTGTTAATGGTTTCATTGATGATGACTTTCTTGTAGTGGAAGAAGATGTTGTTCTGTTGCTAGTACTAGCACTAGCACTTCTACTAAGAATCATTTTGATTAATAGTTTTGGTGTTAGAGGTTTAATTATATTTTTCTTTAAAAATTCATCTGGAATCAATCTTATTATAAAACCTATTGGTATTGATAAAAATCCCAATCCAATACAAATTAACCATTGTATAATATTTAGTGGTGCTGTTTGAAACGCAGCACCACCAAACGTAACTATGATAATTTGTCCTCCAATCGTAATAAAAAGTATAACCAAAAAAAATTTATTCGCAAAAACATTTTTAAAAATATTCTTATTATTATCCAATCTTCGACAACTTTTTTATTTTATTTTATATACATATACATATATATATATTAGTATTTGTTTGTTTGTATTTTCAAAAATAAAAAGAAAAGAGAAATCAATAAAAAGCTTACTTAATTTCATTAAAAATTTGTAAATAAACAAAAGTGTTAAAAACCATAGTTCTATTCGTATTCTCGGAAATATTGAAAAAATCTTCACCCCTATACAATAAAGCGAATGCAATAATCAATTGAAGAATGGATTGGCCAATTATCATTTTCCACATACTAAAATTTATTAAAGGTGAATTTCTTGGTTCAGGATTCCTGTTCAATAATGCTTTTGTTGGTGGATCAGTTGCCAATGCTAATGCAGCCAACGTATCCATAATAAGATTTACCCATAATAGCTGGACAGCGCTAAGAACAGCTTTTTCTTCGTTACTTGATACAGCCGATATAAATGTCAACAATACAGCGGTGACATTGACTGTCAATTGAAATTGTAGGAATTTTTTAACCGAATCATTTACACATCTTCCCCACATTATAGCTTTGACAAGACTTGAAAAGTTGTCATCCATTAAGATGATTGAAGAAGCTTCTTTTGCCACCTCAGTACCAGCAATACCCATTGAAAATCCAACATCTGCTGTTTTAAGTGCTGGACCATCATTAGTCCCGTCACCAGTAACTGCCACTATTTCACCTAATTCTCTAAGTTTACCCACCAAAATTCTTTTATCTTCTGGACTTGATCTAGCAAGAACTTGTAATCTCGGTATAATTCTTTGCATTTTATCTGATGAAAGTTTGCGAAAATCAGGTCCTTCCATGATTATACCACCATTATAATCTTTATCATGAGGGTTAGTCTGATCTTTATCCTTATTATCAGGAGTAAAAATACCGCATTGAATTGCAATGGATCTAGCTGTCGACACATTATCACCCGTTACCATACGTACATAAACGCCAGCTCTTTTACAATCTGCTACGGCTTCTTTTACACCATCTCTTAACGGATCTTCAATACCGACTATAGCAATCAAAGTAAGTTTCTCAGCCAAATATTCATATTTTACTTCACCATCTTCGCTTACAGCAGTAACATCCTTTGGAGGCCATTGTTCAAAATCTCTATAAGCAACAGTGATTGTTCTAAGACTATCATTGGCAAAAGACTCGATAAGTTGTTCAAGTTGTCTCATATTATAACTGCTGCTGCTACTAGTGTCACCACTACCATTATTATTGTTTATATTTATATTATTTAAATCAATCACATCACCAGTAGCAATATCTACTACCGATACTGATTTACTTAACAATACCTCACTAGCACCTTTAATGTGAAATCTCCATTTGTCTTCTTTTTTAATCAAAATACCCATTGCTTTACGTTCAGAACTGAAAGGAAACAATTGTACAACATTAGCTTGTGATCTTAAATCATTAAAATCATCAAGTCCTAAATCCAACAAAAAATCTAATAAAGCAGTTTCAGTTTTTGAACCAACAAAAGCATTTCTTCCATTAACTAACTCATCACCCTGAAATGCGGTAGAATTTACCGAAATAGATTCGTCTAATAATTCCAAAATTTCAGTTGGTAAAGATTCTCGTAAATTTTCAATTGATTTTGGGTCCTTCAATAGCGATTCGTTTTTTTTATAACCTTGTCTTTGAAACTCTACTGAAGACCCTAGTATTCCAGTGACTACAGTCATTTTATTCTGTGTCAAAGTACCAGTTTTATCGGAACATATTGTTGTTGCATTACCCATTGTTTCACATGCTGATAAGACTCTTACGAGATTATTATCCTTTAACATACGAGTAGTAGCGTATGCAAGTGCTTTTAAAATAAAAACATTTATTAGAAGAGGAAAATTCATATTATATATTATATATTATATATTATATATTATATATTATATATTATATTTACCAAGTGTAACAGCTAAAGGAAGACCTTCGGGAATAGCAACAACAACAACAGTAACTGTTGAAATAATTATTGTGACCAAATTTTCGATTATTGCAGCTGCACCATCGCTTGGATGAAACGTGGCAAAATATTTTATTAATAAAGTTAATAACATAATGATTGCAGCAGTTCCGCCAAGTTTTGCTATTTTTTCAGCTAAATCATTCAATTTATCTTGAAGTGGTGTATTTTCTGGGTCTTTTCTCAATGCTGAAGGTGTGTGTATGTATATATATATATATTTTTAATTTTTTCTAATTGAGAAAATATTTATTATATGAAATAATTACCCATCAATGTTCTCCCATTAAAAGAATAAATACCGACACCAGTAACAACGTATTTACCAACGCCTTCTAAAACTTTACTTCCACTTATAACAAAAGGATCAAATTTAATATGTTTTAAATTTTTTTTGGCTTTATTACCATCATCATCATCACCACCAACATTATTGCCAGCAATTAATGATTCTTTTTCGCATTCATAATAACTCTTTTTTTTTACAGCATCACTCTCGCCGGTAGCTGCAGATTCATCACAACGAAGATTTTGAGAAGATATCAACACGCCATCCACGGCAATTATATCACCGGGCTCTAAATGAAGAATATCACCGACCAAGACTTCATACACAGATAACAACATTTCTTTACCATTCCTAGTGACTTTCACATTACGATCCTCTTTTTTTGCATTTAATTTTCTAAATTGACGTTCCTTCTGCCAATCATTCAAACTGCCAACTAAAACAACGATTATTATAGCTACGATTATGGCTACACCTTCAACCCATTTTATTTTTGGCTCGTCTGGACTAGGGTTTTGAGGGCCATAATCCTCATAAATTCCGAGACCTAAAGAGACAACAGCAGCGATCGTTAAAATAATTAGAATTTGTTCCTTCATAGCCATCCACATCAGCTCAAATATCGTCTTAGCTTTTTTTTCGGGTAAAACATTTTTACCAAAAATTCTAATTCGTTCATAAAATGGAGAATCTTCGCTAACATCAAAATTATGATTAAGTTGATAAAGATTATGGGATTCATTTTTTTCTTTCTCTTCATCATTTGCTGGTGATTCTTTTTGTTGTTCTTTTAAAATTTCTTCTAAAGTTATGGGATTCAATGAATCTCTTTCTTTGAGATTTTCTTTGATATCTACTAAACCTGATTTTTCATTAGTATGCAAACCTAATAGCAAACCATCCAAACCGCCAATATTATATAAATACGATAAGTCCTTAGGGTCCACAAATTTATATAAAGAGGCTGGTGTATAAGCAAATGGATTAGTTACAGAAAATGATGCTGTTGCCGTTTTTTTCACATAATTATCATTATTAGTATCTTTATTATTATTGCTGACATCTTCACTGACGTCATTGTTACTAATTTCTATAATAAGGTTATTATCATTGTTTATTATATCCCTTGAATTCATCGTCTTTTAGACGTTTGCTCAAAAAAAAATTATTTTTTTGAACGCGGAAAATACACTCCATTGAATTATTAAAAGCTATATTTGTTGTGTGACGGAAAACTCTCGTAGAATTTACTTGCATTAAATAAACTATGGAACTTAATATAACGTTCCTTGCCGAAAATTAACATATAAGGAATGTATTTACTATTACCGTTTTTTTTCGAGGCAGCCCATTATTTTAAATTTGAACCTTAAATTTTATCAAGTGACCGGCATATTATGAATAGTATTTATACAAGTCGTAAAATTGTTTTAAATTCTCAAAGTTGGCATATGTTATAATGTTCAAAAAAAAAATTTTTTTTATTCAAACATTCTTTAGAAAAATCAAGTTCCGAGGAAACTCCGTCGGAGGCGGTTTTTGTATACATTATTTGTTAATTGTTTGCATGTCGCGCAAAAATTGTTTAGGTAAGACAATTCTTATAAAGAAGAACGAACATTCCATTGGACTATTCTAGTTAAACAAAAAATTTATTACTGTTCTTTCAATTCCTAAAAAAGTTTATCATCTAAAAAATAAAAAATGCATTCATTGTTTACTAAAAAACTATTATTATAAAATATATATACACATTATTATTATTTTAAAAAAAAATTTAAAAATACAAGTTTTAAATTATTTATTAATTATTAATTAATTATTGATCATTAATATTATATTGTATACCAGATAAGGATAATGGTCGAAGACCTTTGGTTCTGTTTGATCTTTGATCGTCTGATTCTGTTTCTTCTTTTTCTTTACTACCAGACGGTTTACTGACTAAAACTGTAGGATGACTTAATCTTCTAGTATCAATTTTATAACCAAGGAAATTGCTATCTTGATGATGATCGTCGTCAACTATTGGTGCTAGTTGTAATGGCTTGAGTTTTGGATCGTTGTGAGCATGAATCCGGTGAAGTTGTCTTCTTCTTCTTCTTTTGAATAGAATAAAAAATATTATTGATAATAATATGAGTAATGCGAGTACACTTAAGAATCCTAATAATATTGTACGAAGACTATAAGATTCACTAGATGGTGCATCAGTTGTAATAGGAGGATCTCGTTTTGATAAATGACTATAATTATTATTGAATATTAGTAACATTTTTTTGAATTTTTGAATTTCGTCAATTGAAGAACTAGAAAAAAAAAGTTTTTTTTTAAAATTGGGAGAGAAATAGTCCTTTTATTTATATATATTTATTAATATAATATATTTATTCATATATCAGTTTAAACCATTCTAATTAATGACAATTATTTATTAAATGGTAAAGTGTAATAATAGTAACCCAAGGTACCACCGACTTTGAAGAAATGAGATGTGGTTAGAATAAAAAAGGATAAAGAATCAGCATAATTGGTTAATTGATGATGAAATATTAAGAGTATACGATTAATTATTGAACTTTAACACTAAAAAAAATAAACCCTTTATTTTTAAAAACCTTGACTACTTTGCTTGATTTTGTTGAACAATATAAATAAACAAAAAACTCCTATAAAGACAATACAAGAAAAAATATTTTTTAAAAAATCCGTCGATCGACAACGTAACACTGCTCGCTCTTTATGGTTACTTTCCGGATCAATACCTATATATAATGCAGTCAAGATTTGATAATTAGAAATTTATATTGCGAATCTTTTTCATATAGTGGCATAAGAAGGATTTTTAAAATATTTCATTTGCTAAATTCATTTAAAAAATAATAATAATCACATTAACCACGGCATCCCACAATCGGATAATTTTGATGATAAAGCAATCAACCTTTTGTTTTGTTTTCTTTATAAGTGGCATCTATAATAACAAAAAGTAGTAGAATAGTAACTAAAAAATTTCTTTATTTGACGTTATGCGTGCGTGGTCTTGTTCATCATATTGCTTAGTTTCCATATGTTATCAATAAAATTGTAAAGTTTGGTTTTTTAAATTTAAAAAGTCGTTGTGATGGAAAACTGGAGCAATTGATGAATTTGTTGAAAAATTTTATGATGACGATCTTGTTAAAATATCAATCTTCGTACTACTCACAATTTCCATTCTCATGTTTTATATTTTTGAAATAAATTCATCATAAACTTCATCAATAATGAAATATTACTTTTCGAGGAATTCATCTCAATTGTTATTACTCGTAATATCAATAATAGTAGTAACTCAATTCTCAAAGATTTCGCTATCAATTGAATTTAAAACAGAATGTCTAGATCAATTAGATCCGTTAGATCCAAAAAATAAAGTCATAACCCCTTGTCCAATGATTTCTTCAAATGATAATAAAGGATCCCTGCTTCTTCAACAATATGAAAGAATGAAAATTATAAAAAACATGAAGGTGGGAGTGACGAAAATGGTGCAGATAACTTTCAATTGTAAAGTTGATGATTTAAAATTGTGTAGCAAAGTTGAAAAGACTTTCGATAAAGCTGTTAACATTATATCATCTAGTATAAAATTTATTAATCCAATCACAGTTAACGCCACGTTCATGGATTTTTGTGCTCAATTAAATCAATGTGGATCTGATGCTGAATCAATTACTTTAGGTTTGTTCGTAAATATATGTGCGTATATATGCTTGTATTACCGTTAACGTATCATATATTAATTGATAGGTGGTGCGGTATCACTTAGGAATATGATTATTAAGGATTATGATGACGATATCTCGAGAATTTATCCACAAGCACTTGTTAAACAATTAAATAGTCAAGATCATCCAGAGTTTCTAGGCTATGACATATTGGCATTATTTAATAGTGAAGCAAATTATTGGTTCGAAGAAGATGATGAAGGCGGTAAAATAGGAGAAGATCAATTAGATTTTTTGTTTGTCGTGGTACATGAATTAATTCATGGATTAGGTTTTACATCAGGATGGAATGATTATATTAATAATCAAGAAGATAAAACAACACCAGAAATTTTGACGCCACAAATATCAGCAAAATTTAATCCAACAACCGGTGAAGTGATATTTGAAGGTTTCATAGAGAGTATTTTTGATAAATATCTTGTTATCTTTACCTCCTCCTCTTCAACGGGCGACTACAACTGCAAAAGACTTTCAGATATAACAAAAGAATTAAACAAATTTGCCGGTGGAATTGGCGCAATTTTTAAATCGAGAAATGATTTTTTTTCTGCTTTTAAAGCTTCTCCACAATACCAATTAGCTTTGAAATTAATGAGATATGCTACTATTCCCAAATCTATTGGATTTTTACTTAAAGATAACAGTAATACAAATTGCAATAAAGATAAAAATGATGTTGTCATACTTGAAACTAGTATTAGTCCTTATGTAACAGGGTCAAGTATTTGTCATTTGGATTATAATACTTATTCGATAAATGGTGATTTCCTAATGAGATTTATACAAGATCGTGGCATTACTTTAAATGAGGAAATTCAATTGGGTGGTAATTATAAAGGCGGATCAATCGGCCCGAAATTACGATTAATTCTAGAATCATTAGGGTAAATAAATATTTATTATTTATTATTTTATCTTTTTAATCTTTAATTTTTAATTTAATTTTTATTTTTATTTTTATTATACAGATATATTACACAAAAATGATATTGCATTTAGCCAAACCATATGATCCAAAATAATTTTCATTGTATATATATAAATTAATTATATTTGTTTATTTAAATATTTATTGTTTTATTATAGAATGTGGTAACGAAATTCTATTAGAAGTTTTCTTTACATATCATGTACTTAAGAAAGTTCTATGAAATTGATACCACGGTAAGATCATGTTTATTTTGTTATACAAAAATATAAATTTGATAATTGAAATTTTACAATAATTCATTGTGACACGAAAAATTTAATCATGACAATATTTTGTGTAACGCAATATCTCGTGATCTGTGATGTGATGTGATTGATATATGCGCCACTCTGAACTTTGTTAAGAGACTTTTAATGGTTAGTAAGGCTGTTATTTTTAAAACTTATCCAACTAAAAACAGCAATTACAATAATTCTAAGTAAATTTTCCTTGAGTGAAGGTCATTAATTAATTCCCATTCTCCATTAAAAGTATTTCAAACAATGTGTTTTTTAGAGAAGAACTAGGCGTTTACGTTTTTATCGTCAATATTAATAGACAAATTTAATTTTATTGAACTTATATTGCTTGGTATATGTATGACTTTATTAATAACTAGGTAAAATTTCATATAAGCGTAATTGGTGGAATAAATTCATTACATGGTTTTTCGTTGTTCCGAATGGAATTTCGATATTAATATCATTTCTCATTTTTGGTAGAGTTTCGATTTTCTTTTTTCGGAGCGTTATTCAAATTACTTAAACCCTCAATATACATCCCTATAAACACAAGGCGAGTTTCATGAAAGTCAGTATACAAAAATCAATTGGAAAATGAGATTAAATACAAAAAAAATTGACGCATTAGTTGTACATTGGCTTTTATTGGTTGTTAATTGCGATTGTAAACTTCTCTAAGCACACGCACAGCTCTCCGAATGGTGCTGTCATTTCATAAATAGTTAGGTAAATTGCTTTAAAGTTCTGAGTGCTCTCTAAAGGATGATCATCATTGTATCTCTTCTAGACCAAAGACGTTGACTAAATAACAGCATAATTTCTGAAATTCACATAGTAAACATAGTAAAATTAACATACTGTTTTCTCCTTCTCCATTTTCAAAGATATAGACACCACATTTATCCGAAAAGATAGTGGATGGTGTGTATTTTATATCTGTAAAGAGTTTTATAAAAATCGGTTCAAAATGTATATGCCAAAGAACCAAAAACTCTTCATAGCTCTAAACCACACACTATTTTATTGTCTTTTCGCGTAAATTTGGTGATTGAGAGTGCAGATCATCTATAATCAATTAATTGCTTATAATAACAATTGGTCAGCTTCAAAATACTAAAACAAAAAATTTTTTATATCATTTTAAAAAAGTCAACCGATAAGTTTTATTGTTCATGACTCAAGCTTCAAAACTTATCGGCTAGTTTTTCTTAAACTAAAAATTGGCAAAGCCTTGACATTTTGAAAATTCCAAATTTTGTTATACGTTTTAAGAAATTGAGACTAAGTAATAATAATAAAAGTTCTTTACAATAAAAAAGTTCAACGAACATATTACATCAAAAGAAAATCATTCCCAAATTTGGTCATATAATTCAAAAATATTGTAACAAGAAAATTATTGTTGCAGTTCTGAGCATAACTCAAATTTAAAAAATCCATAAAAAAAAAATTTTTTTTTACATGAATTGACTCTTTTTTTAAAGCCGAATTTAATGGTGGTGGGTGGGTTTTTTAAAATCCAACATGTATATCACATGATTAGAGGTCGGAATCGTCCAAAAAATCCTTAGTCGACTACTAGTTGGTCAAAAATTTCTTTAGTCGACTAATTCGACTAAAATTTTTTTTTATAATAATAATATTTCGTTTTTTTTTTAATTTGCAAATTACGAATTCATTTCCATTTGAATCTTTCACTTTTTCAAAATACTTCCACACAAAACCATGCGTTACGATTCGTTTTTTAAAAGGTCTTCTGGAACTATCGCTTAAATCATTGGACCTTGTATTGGAAATTTTTATTCATTCACATGTAAAATTATCATCAACAACACACTACTATTGTCGTCATCATCATACCGATGGTATTGATACTCTTCCACATAGAAATTTTCCATTTTGAATGATAAAACACAAAAATCGTAATTCTTAGTAATATTAGTAGTCGACTAATTAGTCGATTAAAATAGTTGACTATTTAGTCGACTAAGATAGTTGGCTATTAGTTGTTCAAAAAAAAGTTTAGTTGACTAAAATAATCGACTAATTAGCCGATTAAACTAGTCGACTATTTTAGTCGATTCCAACCTCTAGTTTTATGATAAATAAAACGGATTTATCAAAGTGCCGTCCAATAATATGCCGGACATCTGATCTATATATGTCTTCGTTTTGTATTTTTTATTAATATTTTATATTTGCATTTTTATTATTTATTTATATATTTATTAAAAAAGACTATTATCATAATAATAATGTCATTTTTTGATCTAACCCGTTTTGTAATAATAAAACAAATCAATTTTTTTTTGTTCAATAAAAGACTTTTGTGGCCGGTAGAGTTTAATTGACTGCTTGGGTTTTCACCCGCAGCTTAGGTTTCGCCAACTTCGCCGCAAAATTAGGCCTAAACTATGGTCAGTTCTGGCTATCATTCACTAGCCTTGTGTCTTTAATTATGTATTGCGTCACGAATTGTCTTGAATTACGTATTGTGTCACGAATTGTCTTGAGTTACACGAATTGCGTCCTACATCTCTTGCATCATGAATTGTGTTTTGCGTCACGCATAATAATAATAATAATAATAATAACACCAATTGCATTATAACCGTTTCGCCTTTTTATTTAATTGATAATAATAAAATTTAGGAAAATAAAACTTATTGTTATCACAAAATTTTCTTATTAACCCCAAATCAACCCGTTAGGAACTTTAACCATATTATTCCTTGAAAATTCAAGTTCCGACTTTAGTCGGCTTGGCACATTCAGAGCTTTAGGGTACAATAATATTATGTCTTAAGTTTTAATATGTAATGTAATATTTGTATAAAAACTATGTAATATTTACATTGGATGTAATAATTGCATGGTTTTGTGTTTTTGCATAGTGTAATAATTATGTAAATTAACATCAGAAAAAATTTCCTGGTGATATATTGAGTTGTGAGATCTTTGCCAAGTTTCTTTTCGATTTTTCCAATTGGTTTCCTAAGTTTTGAATTTGAATTTTCAAATCTTCATTTTCCTGTGGGTTTAATATCAAACAGTTAGCCTTATTATTTGACTTATAAACAGAAAGAAATCAAAATTTTAGACATTAAGCAATTCATAAAAAGAAACTAGAATAGCTCCCAAGACAATCATTCTTTAATAATATTTGCTTGTTTCTGGGTTGCTGGTTTGGAATTGTTTTTCTTTTGTTTATATTTTTTTTTATTATTCACATCCATTTTTTCGTTTTTTAAAAAAACTTACTAATAATATAAAAATTAGGTGTTTTTTTTCATCTTTAATATTGCCCAATTAAAACTAAAGACGACAACAAAAACCCACCACTTGTAAGTATTAGCAATCACAATCATAAACCCCATTGATTCCTGAAGCTTTATAGAGCAGTTTTGTTACAAACAAAAGAAATTTTAGCCTGAAATTGAAATTACAATTAGTTGTTCAATAAAATAATGGCAAATATTCCATGCTTGTTTGGAAGAAATATCAAGATACTTGGATTATTCACCATTCCATGCAAAATATTCCACCAGCACATACAGTTCACTCTTTCTACAATGTCCATTTGGAAAAAATATCAGCTATGGAGAGAATCTGTTATATATAGCAATAATTATTATTATGTATGGACTGTATTCCTACATAATATATTGCTCCTCACAAAAATAAATAACTTTAGTTATTCTACAAAAAATTTTCTATTGTAAAATAGTAATTTCGTGGATCACGGAAAACTGACCAAGAATTCAAACTAGTCTAATCCCATATTGTTATTTAGACATTGTAATAATTCAATAAAATAATCGATTCACGGAAAATATTTCAAACAACAGAGAAACAAATATTCCAACATTCTTAAATTTAAACGAAGGATTTAAATGACTTGAAAATAATTCTACACAGAAGGTTTAAGGAATACATTTAATTAAAACAAATTATGATTTCAAAGAAATCAGAAAACTAGATGATTGAACCTTTAACATGTATAAATAACGTTGTAACTTTCTTAACTTCATCTATCGTCCTAATCAATCATCGTATAATAATCATAATAATCATTTAATAAATAACAAACTGTCCTTATCCTTGTCCTTGTTGTTGTCTTCGAATTTTATATTTTTGTAATGATGATAAATCTATCTCTAACAATGAATTCATACTAATCCCGTACATAATTTGCCTCTAATTTTTTTATTATTTTTTATTTCTTTTCTTTTCTTTTAGTGAGATAATTTTTAATAATTTTATCTTGTGAGGTTTGGGAAACGTATCTGATTTGAGTAGGGAGTAACGGCCAAGAAGGACACACACCAATAAACGTGATCAGGATATAGTGTGAAATCTAAAGAAGGAATTGTTTAGTATTGCTTAGCAAGGAATTGTTTAACGATATTTTTGGGAGTAAAGCATAAATATACATTCGCGGAAATTGTTGTTGCGATTTAATATAAATAAATTGGAAGGAAATGTATTAGCATTATTGGCATTAAAAAAATAAATCATCATCCCACTATTACGTGAAGTCCATTTTTGGAAATAACCTTTTAAAATCTTATATTTGATCATATGGCACAGCAATGATAGGCGTGCAACAATGGTTCGCAGACACGTGGAGCGTTCATTGAGATATTTTCCAATAAAAATTCAAAGTTTTGCTTGATGTGAATATAAAAATTTGTTGTATTTAATACTGGTGATGTCATCAAGAACTAAAGAGCGGCTTTCTGCACGTAAAGAAAATTTTTAAAAATATGTTGACATTATGATTAACTTGGGTACATCTGCGACTCAGTAGTCACATTTAAAGAAAAAAAAAATAAATCTTATTACTCCAGAGCAAAAGCTTGCTTTTAATTGTAGGTGATAAAAATAATAATCGTCGAGACGATTAAGTTTTTAAATGCTAATAATAAATAAACTTTAATCAAATAATATATATGTGTTTTTTTTGTTTGTACAAAAATTGATATTATTAATTGATTAAAAAAAAATTAAGATAAATTTGCTTGTTTATATAAATTACACATTAATAATTAATGATTATTATTACTAATTATAAATATATTTTTAATATTGAAAAGAAATTTAATTTATAATTCTTCTTCTAATCCAACGCTTATTGTTATTATTGTTATTGTTTTTATTGCTATTATTTTTATTTTGTAATATAGATTTTTTAAGTCTTAAGGTGTTTATTGGTCTCATTTTCTTGTAGATTCTTTGTTCCCCTTCTTCATCTTCCACGTCATCATCTTCACTTTTAACAACCGGCCTCTTTCTTTTATTATTTAAACCAACATTGTTTGTTTTACTATTATTATTATCACTATCAATACTACTATCATCATCGTCTTCTTCTTCGTCTTCGTCTTCTTCTTCTTTCTCGGCTATTTCATCTAATCTCGCTCTTCTATTATTATTTACTCTAATATTTATATTATTATTATTACAATTATTGTCATTATCTTCACTATCTTTAACGTCATTGCTGTCAGAATTACTATTATTAAAATCATCATTACGATTACCATTTATAACACCTTTTTGATTACCATTACGGCGATTTCTATTATTAGCAAACAATTTATTTGGCAGCTCTCTTTCATCATCATCATCTTTACTACCAGAACCGCAACTGTTACCAAAATCACTATTACGATCACCATCACCATCACCATTTTTGCTTTTGTTTCTGCTATCATCAAACAAGTTATTTGGTAACTTGTTGTCAACAACATTGACATTCTCATAATTTTTGGTAGTGGTGGCATCACTGTAGGTTACAGAATCGTTGGCATTAAGTGAATGTTTTTTTAGTTTTTGTAGCTCTTGTAATTTCATCTCAAGTATTCTTGCAAACTCTGGATCATAATCCTTTTGTGATTTTTCTCCGTCTTCTACTTTTCCCTTATCTGCTTCACTTTCCGGTTCGTTTTCTTGTGATTGATGATGATGATGATTGACACAATTACTATTATTATTACTGTTATCACTGTCATTATCATTATTATCATCACTTTTATATTGAACTTGATCTTGCAGTATTGGAACCTCTAAAATAGGAGCAGGAACAGAAGATAGAGATAGAGGTGAGGATGAAGTCTCGACGTTTGTTACTAGTTGTGGTTGTGGGGTAGTATCCGCATTTATTTGAGGAGATGGTAAATGATTATTGTCGCCTGATTCATTATCATCATTATTAATATTATCATCGTCTGATTCATCATTATCATTACGATTACTATCGTCGTTATTATCGTATAACTCGCCTTCATCATTATAAGTACTATTACTATTATTATCAACTAACTCATCAGATTTATCATTATTATTGTTGTCACCTAACTCGTCATTATCGTCGTCATCATCATTATTATTTATCAACATAGATATACTAATTGATTTTCTTTCAATAGTGGCTGTTGAGTTTGATGATTGTTCAACCGGTATTGAAGAAGAACATTGTGGCACTGATGATAATGACGGATGTTGAGGTATTATCGGTGATGGTTGTTGTAATGGTATTGATGTTGAAGATGAAGATTGATAATGTGGATATGATGATTGTGAATGTGAATGTGGTTGCTGATATGAAGATGATGATGATGAATATGATTGTGGATGTGAATTATGTGGAGATCTAGAGTCATATGAAGAGGATGATATATGTGGCATCGTAGAGTCATGATGTGGTTGATAAAATGTAGAATCGTAATGTGGTTGATATGAAGACCTGGATTCAGAATTTGAAGAAGATAATGGATATGAATATGTAGAGCCATAATGTGGTTGGAACGGAAAAGAATTTGACGATATGTTATCGTGTGAAATAGATTGTGCTGTTGATATCCCATTTGAATGATTGCTGGTACCAGCATAATTACTCGAAGCCTATGAATTTAGTATCAATTTATCATTAATATCATTATCGTTATCGTCATCGTTGTCGTCATCATCATTATTATTATTCATTATTTTAATATATTTGAATGAATGAATGAATAAATAAATTTACCGTAATGTTATTAGCTTGGTCATTTGTTCGCAAACACGTCCATAAAGAAGAAGAAGGTCTTCTTTGTCCTAAAGTTGGTGAATATTGATCGATAGCACATAAATTAGTTGAAGTATTAGTGGCATTAGTAGTATTAGTAAGTTGTGGTGATGATAATAATGACGACGATGGTTCATTGTAGAAAGACGTTGGAAATGTTGACCATCTTGTTGAATTACAGTCGATTGGTAGCGGCAAAATTGGAGCTAGTTCATTATAATAGATTCCGGCAGGATTAGAACCTTGAATCGTTCTTAATAATTCACCATCTCCAGGATATATAGCATTTGGCCGTATAACATTCAAATTATTGTCTACATTATTATTAAAAATTAAAATTATAAAATTAAAATAATTAAAATATAATGTATAAAATATTATAAATAATGTAATAAATATATAGCATAATATTGTGTATAGGCAATGTAATAATAATGTAATAATAATGTAATATATGTAAAGAACATGTTCAAGATTTTGAGGTCATTTATATGCATTACCCGAAGAATCGTTTGGTCTATAAGAAACCATTCTTCTAACTTCGTGTCCAGGTGGTGGGCCACGCTTTTTTCCAGGATTCCCAGGAACACACGGTTTGTCGAGCTTCAGGCAGTAACCACAAGGTGGTGTGCCAGAACACTTAATCTTTCGTTTTTGACAATTTAAACAAGCAGTAGTGACTTTTGTTCTGTTTTGTCCTGGTTTTCTTCTCATTTTATTATTGTTGTTATTATTATTATTATTAATAGTAGTTATTATTTATTTTTTTTAAATAAAAAATATATAATTCTATGTTTTTAAAAAAATTATATTGTAGAAAATAGTTTTTTTTCTTTTTTTGAAAAAAAAAAAAAAAATAAAATAAATAATTTAAATTTGTTTGTTAACAATTTAAGTGCGGAAAAATCCGAGACTTGTTCGGAAAAACAAAAGTTTTTTTTTTACTTACTATGTAGTTTTTGTGTGTGTGTATATATATATATATATATACAGTAATATTTTTAATATATAAAAATAAAAATTTCTCTCAAATTTTCTCGTATAAATTAAAAATGATAAACTATTGGATAAAAAAATTAAAGTTTCATCCCCAAATATTCGGAAAAGGCAGTATTATTAATTAAAAATATTTAATAGTGTGTATGTATGAAGTAAATTTACAAAAAAAAGTTAAAGAAAATTGATAAAAAATAAAATAAATTTTCCATAAGGGTTCTTTTAATCCATAATATGTAATGTAAAGAAGATCCACAAGTTTTTGAAAATCTAATTTTTTTTTAATTTTTGAATTTGTATCACGTAAATTTACCCGCCTGCCATAATGTTACACGCATTATTATGTAAACAAGTTATTTTTTATGAAAAATTTTTGATTGCTATAAATATAATATTTGCAACAACAACTATTTTTTTTAGAAAAATCTTTTCTAAAAAAATATAAAATAAAAATGCCTAAAGATACCACCCTCACTGAAAGGTCATTTACAACAACAAGACGATCAAACAGGTTGGAACAAAAAAGGGAAAAGAAAAGAAAAGAAGAGGAGGAGGAAGAAAATGAGTTCATACATCCGAGTGAAGAGAAGTCAGAAGACGACATTGAAATTATTCATAATAATCGGTTTGTTTTAAAAACAATAAATATTTAAATTTTTATCCAATTTATTGTTATTGTCAAATCAGTTATTTAATTTATACAATTCAAAAAAATTATATATATATATATATATTAACATTTGTTAAAATTGATAAAATCGATTTGAATTTTATTATTTTTATTATTTTTTTTTCAAGGACTATTTTAGTTAAAAAAGTAAAAAATATGGTTAACAATAATAAAAATACAAAAGCTAATACAAAGTCAACCAAAAATACCACAGCTTCAATAAAAAAATCATCGTCATCAAATATAGTAGATGTCAAATGGAAGCAATTAATACAGGATACAAATATGACATCATCATCATCATCAGATTATGATGATGATGACGACGATGATGATGTTAACGATGATGATGATACTGATTCATCATTTGATATAACAGCAAAATCTAAAAAAAAATATAAAAAAAAAATTACTAAAAAACCAACTATCAAAAAACCAACTATCAAGAAACCAACTATCAAGAAACCTACTACTAAGAAACCTATTACTAAGAAACCCACTACTACTGCTACAAAAAAATCCATCATGTCAAAGAAATCATCTAAAAAAGAATTTAATAATGGTGTATCTTGTAATAAATCAGATTCTCATAATGAGTGTGGTATTAATAAAGTTCCTGCTAATAATAATAATAATAATAATAATAATTCTAATAATAATTCACAATCGACTATTATAAAACCAGCATTAAAATTTCGATCTTCTCCTGCCATCACACCTTCACTATACTTTGCCGTTACTCAACAACAAGGTTGGGAAACTGGTGGTCTTCGATCTGAACAACCTTCAAGAAACACTCATCCAGACATGGAAGATGCTTACTATGTCCCATACATGGCAAATGAAAAAGTTCATTATCCCTCAGATACTCCTTATACTTTATTTGTATTAGCTGATGGTCATGGTGGATCAAGCGCATCGAGACATTTTTGTAGAATGGTGCCTGAGGCTATTCAAGATGTTTTGTGTTCTCAAGCTTCTTGGTCATTCAGAGAACCTAGTGGTCAACAATTATTTAGAGAAAAGGTGAAGGAAATGTACAAAAGACTCGATAATGAATATTTGAATTCTCAGAAAAAAAAGTTTTCAGAATGGTTAAGTAATGGTTGTAAGGATCCTATGCCATCTGATCAAGGTTCAACATTGGTTATTGTTATCTTGTATGATGGTGTGGTGATAAATTGTAATCTTGGGGACTCAATGGCCCTTATATGTAAAACTTTACCCTTAACAACTACTGGTAGAATACCTCTTGAAATTGTCTATCAGTCCACTATTCATTCTCCTGGCCATCCACATAAAGCATATCATATTGCTAGTAATGGTGGAATATTTAAACGCGAAGATAATGAAAAGTTGATCAAAGCCACTGTCAACAAACCACCACCAATCAACGATGATTTAGCAAACTTGGACAACAACAACAACAACAACAACAACAATAATGTACATTATACACATAATGTAAAACATGTACCAGGTCTTTTGAAAGCTCGTATATATCGACCTGAAGAATTTCAAAATCCATACGGTATGCAATCTGATTTATCACTTAATCTAGGTGATACGATGGGTGATCTGTATTTCAAACTTGACCCACCATTATTTCCATGTGATGCTGATGTTGATTATATAGTTATGGAGTCAGGTACTAATTATATTGGAATATTGGCACCGGATGGATTATGGGATCATTTGAAAGTTAGTATGAGAGAATTTATTAGGAAGTTGGCAAAATATATCAATTATTTAATAGCAAGTGAAGATCCAAATTTTTTTACAAAGGTAAACTTACCTGGAGAAGGAGGAATAGGAGGAGATGAGTCATCAAACAAATTATCAGAAACTGAATCAGTACAACAACAACCATTTTTTTATAAACTAGGATCTTCAAGGAGTCATAATATTTTAACTGGTGAACAATTATATGATCTTGCAAGAGCTTTATGTGATAGAACCAAGGATAGTTTGGATATTTTTGAAAAGGATCAAGGTCGTTACGATGATTGTACTGTTATTGCATTTTCTTATAGTTTTTAATTTTATTATGATTATTCAAATAAAAATAATATAATTAAATAATATATAGTATATAATAGCTAACATAGTAGCAAATTGCAAAAAAAGATGATGATGATGATGATGATGATGATGATGATAATGATGATGATGATGATGATGACGATAGTAATAATAGTTTGTTAATTATCAGTGAATGAATGTGTGATTTGATTATTATTTTGTATTTAGCTAGACTGGAGATAAATAATATATATATTTTTTAAGTTAAACTTTTACAAAAATCATTTAATCTTGAGTTGAATAATAATAATAATATTATTATTATTATTGATGATATTTTGTTAGGTAATGAAAAATATTTATTTTATTGTACATAATAAACATCAATAAAAATTAAAAATAATAATGATAAAAATAATAATGCAAGATAGTAAATAAATAAATGAATTAATTATTAATAATAACTTTGTTTATTTTACAATTTTACCTCTCCTTTTCCTTCAACTACTTCAGTTTCTTTCTTGCTATTGCTACTATTGCTACTACTACTATTGACAATAGGTTGATTACTACTATAATTCATACGATGCCAAACATAATCTTGAGCAATTGTTTGTACTGCTAGTTTTATTGATGCAACCATTTTATCTTCTACCCATTCATTTTCTTCATATTTTACATCTAACCAACTAATTGGTAATGCTTGTGAATAAGTTTCGAAGGTCAGATTGTGAGTTGGATCTGTTAATACTATTACAAAGAACAGAAAATTTTCTGAAACATTATCTGTTGATGGTGTGGATGATGATAAAGTTGGTATAACGTATGGATTAGCTTTTGTTGGTTGTATTGACATAAATACTGGGCATGTAATTGATGGCGTCTCTCTTTGTTGTGATTCTTTTGTCTTTAATCTTTCTTTTTCTAATGAAATGGGATCATAATGTTTCTTGATTGTTTGTTCAATATTTGCCTATTGAATTATGAAAAAAATAAGCCATAAGCTATAAACAATGAACATGATCATGATACAATGATAATGATAGTGATGATGATGATGACGATGATGATGATAAATAATATACCTTTGCAAGTTTTATAGCTTCAACAAATCCTTCACAAACATTTAAATCTCTATATGATTCATCTGTTATATTAACTTTCTTTATTTCATTATTATTACCTTTCTTAACAATAATATCTCCTCCTTCAACTTGTTCCATTACCTTTATAAATCCACGATAAACGATTGATTCCAATCCAATATATCCAATCATATCATGTGCCAACCAAACTTCTACAATTTCATATTGTGAAATTGGTGGAACTACCGCATTAACAACTGTTGTAAGTGTATTTAAACTTAATGACTTAAGATCTGAACCTTTTAAATTTTTACAAATAACCAAAAAAAATTTTTTAAGTAATTAAATAATTAAATAATTTAAATTGGTTCAAAAAAAAAAGATATAAAATAATAACCTATTTTTTCAATTGCTTCCTTATTCACATATTCACGTACTTTTTCTTCCAACTTTTTAGTTGCTTCGTTTGCTCGTACCGTTTCGACTGTTGCCAATGCTCCTTTAACAGACGAATCAACAACAGTGCTGGCTGTTTTATAGGCTGTTGAAGCAGATGCCATTATATTTCCCCAACTCCAAGCTCCACTATTATTATTATCATCACTGCCACTGGCTTCATCTTTTTGTAGTTTCTGTTCAGAACTTTGTTTAACGCTTGTATTCTCAATTTTTGTTGAGATATTATTATTGTTGTTATTATTATTAAGAGTAGAGGTGGCGTTGGTGCTGTCAGATTTATTAGTAACAGTAGTCGAAGTTTGTACTATTTGATCAATGTAATCAAGAACAGATTGAGCATCATCCTCAGTTCTAGTTTCAATCGTTGACGGATTTGTAGAATAGGTATCAAGATCTTCAAGAAATTGTAGTACGTCTTCTTGAGAATTAGTTGATGATTTTTTTTCTGCCATATTTATTTAAGAAGAATGTAATGATTTTGAGGCGTGTACTGCAACAAATCCAAAGTTTGTACTGCTACCAAGTATTTTCAGGGTCAAAATTGTTTAATAACCGATCATTGAATACCTACCTCGGTTACACGAATCCCAACATGATTGGTAGAAAATAAGGAAATCTTATCTTAAAAAAACCTTGTCGTGTAACCGAGGTAGAATAGGGCCGATCATTAATAATTTTCACGTTACACCGTTCAATTATACAAATTTAAAATTCATAGTGATTTTTTAAGCGGTCCCTACATATAAAGGTAAAAAAAATACAATTGTAATTTTTAGAATCAATCAACCTAAATAATATAATAATAAATTGGTTTTTTCCCTTCTGGAGTGTTAGCGATAGGGATTTTCTGTTTTAGATAGCAGGCTGTTTTAACTGCTTTTTAAACCTTTCTTATCTTCAATACTCTGATCAAGTGTCATGAGCAAGGATTAAGTCAGCATATATGGGATAACTCATTTTTCCTCGTCCTCTTTTGCTTTAGGCACCAGGATCCGCAGTAACAAATACTTGGACTTGACTGGTCTTTTATCATCTAGATGAATAAACTTTATTTTTCTTGGTGGTGATTGTTCTGGTCTTTCTTCTCACCCTATTTCTTTGTCTTGTCTTTTTTAATGAGTTAAATGTGTTATTTTTTCCGCAACAACTAATTTAAGGTTTGCCACGAGTATTTTTTCTGTAAGTGTTGATCTTTTTTTGATGGCTAGCTTTAAATCATTTTCGATATCTACAGTTGCTTGAATGTAACTTGCTCTTCCAATAGATCAGCTCCATAATAGCAAAATTCTTTTTTATTAGAAACGACACCCAACCAAAACTTCATCCGGACAAACTACATACTCATTTGACATGTTTTGTGGAGAATCTCTTGTCCATTTCTTTTGTAATTAAGACAAGTCGCTGTATATTTCCCTTTAGGAATTCTTTCTCCATGCTCAAAATGTTTCCAGGCATCGACACTTGTCACACTTGTCGAAAGTTTGGCCATTTATTCGAACAAAATTTCGCCAAATCGAATTTTAGTTACGCCCAAAAGTATAGTTTTTCACAAACAGAATAATCACCTAAAGATAATAACAATAAAGATAATTTAACAAAGTACTCGGCAAATTGATTTACACGCTCCTTCCTGATGCCAATATGAATCACATGATCTCAGAGTGCTGCGAATAATAATAAGCATTCAACAGATCTGTACTACTGACACGAAAAAATTATCTTTTATATACTCGAATCACAGAATTATTATTATTCTATTATTATACGGTAAGCTTAATTAATAATTACTCGGTTTTATTGTAGTTTTGCAGCCAGTACTGTAATAATTCCTTTGGGAGCCAGGCTTTCCCGAGGTTCTTTCAGTGAAGTAACCTGCGGATTCTGATTTTTCTGGTCAGTATTTGAAAACACAGAAACATGTAAAACTTCATGTAGATGATCTTATTTAATGATTTCAGCAATCTTACTTTCGCTTATCTTTTCTTTTTCATTTGAACAAGACGTCTATATGTAAAGATCGTGGTACATATCTTTTTGTCACTCTTGGATTAGTTTAAGATTTTAAAAATGGCAAAACTTCTAATACTTTATCATTCTGTGTAGAGTTGTATAAAAGTGCTAAGAAATGTTTATAAATTAGTAAAATTTTTCAAGAAGCTGGAACATTACTAAGATCAGTAGGATCAAGCTGAGTTGTATTTAAAAAAGCGCACCAAACACAATCTCATCAGGAAATAATGAATTATGCTAAATCTTTGTTTGAAAGAATTACAGTGGATACATTAATATTTAATTTAAGTGCTGGCTGATTGGTTTAAAGGTATTCTTTCAATTATTAGTATTAGTAATTCCATGTTTGCCGTATCATTTTCTTATTTGCCTCAAACAAATTTACAAATAAACAATAGTACTAAAAACATCCTTATTCTTTCCATTTTTTTCAATATGGATTTGTCAATTTCTGACGTGTCTGATAGTGAAGACATGGAAACCATTTCTGTTAATCCATTTAATAGAACAAACTCTACGAAATTAGTACTAATGGTAATTTGAAAAGGTTTTATATTCTCGCAGACCAATAATTGGATAAATGTAAGTTTATACTCAAAGGTGGTAAATACACGAATTATATATAGTATTTACTGTGTATGATATGTAAAAAATCATATTTAGTTACATTGTACATAGTAAAACATGTGATTACACAGTAAATCAAATATGAAAAAAGCAGAGCAACTCTTCATTATAGTAGACGGACGATAAATGGTAAGTCAACATATTGATATGTTGTTTTATGTAGTATCTTCCACTTTTAGGGGAGAAATCCAGTCATTGGCATCAAATAATGCTCGTAATAAACCAAAAGGCAAGAGTACGTTGAAAAGAGACATGAAAGAAACGTTGGTACACACAGCATGTAAACTGGAGAGGCCTTGTATGGGGAGGGAAATACCTGGTGGTTAGGGTCTTTTGATCCATCTGTAGCAACTAGAAAGAAAAAATTTCTGGGCAAGTTTAAATTATTACTATCTATAATGATCGGGCGGGACTCTGTAAACAAAGCTCTAAAATAATGGAATCACATTAGCAATGAAAAGAGAAAATCTTAAGTTTCACACAAGCCGGTGTGTTATCTCGCTGAAGCTCACATATGCGTTCTTATTCCTAAGAAATTGCAATTCTTTTTCCACGCAGGATTCAATGCTATTTCCTGGTATTATTTATGTTTTTGGAAAATCGATCACTGTTCAATTCCATCTGAAGAGAATGATGATAGCTGCTTATTTGAAGACATATTTTGTGTTTCAAAAGAACTTGAGGTATGTCGCCACTTTTATTCTATCACTATATTACATATGGATTATGATTTACTAATTTTATTTTCTACAACAGAAAGAATTACAAAAAATTTTCATGGTGAAAATACAAAAAACAAAAAGAAGAAAGAAGTTCCTCCCACCAAAATGGGATAGATTTAACACAAACTATATGTTGTGTGTGTATTATAATAAATTTAAATTTAAATTTTTGATTTTTGATTTTTCTAACAAAATACCAAATACTGATTATATAAATTCAAAAAAAAAAAAACACTTTTTGACATTTTCCCTCTGATGTTTTTTGGGTACCATCAATTTATTATATATTTTCCAACAATCGCTAAATATAGACCTTTTTTGGGGTCTAGCTTCTGATCCTAATATTTGATTTGGTTCTTTATAAACGAACATTATAAAATATTCACTTTGTTATTCACTTGTCTAGTTTTTTTTTATTGCAGTATGCCCCATTTGGTATCAATCTCTGTGATTTAACAATTTTCACATGACAATAACATTTCAAAAAAACGCTAAAAAAATAGCTTTAATGCATTATGATGTCATTGAAGTCAATTTTGCATCAAGATTTTGTCATGATGATACAAGTATAATGAACTAATTTATAAAATAAATTCAAAATGGATTTTTTCTTTAAAAATTTTTGAAAATGTCAGGATCAATTTTCTATAGAAGATGTCGCTTCATTTTTTACCTCAAAGAAGAATTAACACAAAAAAATATTGGAAATCATTTGATTTTTGAATGTGGCACTAAATTTAATAACAGATTGTCATCACGAATTACTCGTAATTTTGTCTCGAAAAAAAAGGGGAATGAGGGAATCCCTAAAAGCCAAGCTAAACCTGTAACTGCTAAAACTCACGAGGAACTTTCTGAACGTTCATATAAAGCTGCAGCACATAATCCAAACAATACACCTGAGGGACGGTAAGTAACAAATAATAATTTATTAAATTAATTAAATTGATTTTATTATTTATTGTTGGATATTTTTGGTGCGAATTTCAATCATAATCATATTTATTTAATGAATTCATTACATTATTTATTTCTAATTTCTAATTTTTAGCCTAGAGGCAGCCAAGAAATTTTCGAAAAAATATAAAGAACGTACTGGAGAAACAATCGATCCAGAATATGAGGCCTCTATTGGTGACAGAAAGGCAGAACAAAGTTAATCTTAAAAACAAATCAAAATAAATAATGATTTTAATTAAAGTTTGTTATATTATTCGTTGTTGTTGTTGTCAGTTTTAGTTTTTTTTAAAAAATTATTTTTAACTCGCGTTATATGGTATATATTATAATACGCATATATACAATTTAAGTTGTGAGACATTTGTTCTACTGACCTTTATTTTTACCTTAAAGAATGATGTTTGTCGTCAAATGTTGTTTTCAAGTATTAATTAAATTTTTGTGGTTTTATTTACGCGTCAACTACGCGATTTGATCTTTTTTTTCAAAAGTAGTGATTAATCTAACCTTTTTTGCAGAACAGTTAATTGTCTTTTATAAAAAATGTCGAAAATGTAGATATTCATTTTTTCAATGATAATTTTTATTTGCACAAATATTTTGCTTTTTAAAATAAATTTACTTTTTTCGCAATCATAATAGTTTGTTCAAATAATAATAGTATTATTATTATTTATTGATCAAACAATCAAACAATTAATTAATTAAGTTAGAAATTAACGTTTACTAAATAATAAAATATTCAGAATTAAATAAATTTCTAAATTTAGAAAATGTTGAAGTTAGTTGATTGTCGACCAAATTAATATTACAAAAAGATCGGCATTAAAGAATGATATCACAACAACACTAATTTTTAAATTAAAGGTTTCCTAATTCAGAGTCATATAATCAATAATTGTTAATGTGAAATAATGATAAAAAATCCAGATTTAGTATACAAATAAATCAATACAAAAATTTATATTGTTATACTTTATATTATTCTTGTAATAATTATAAAAAGCTCATGATTCTTCTTTCATCTTTGCTCGACTTCTGAATTTCAAATAATTTCTAAATAACAAACGGGAAGAAAGAAGATTAAAACACTTTCTTTTTTATTAACGTGGAATTATTATTTATATACAAAAAAATTCTAATTCTAATTTTTTTTTTTTTGGATATTAAAGTTCATCGCAGGACGACTTCAAATAATTACTATCCCTTTAAAAAAACAATCTTTTTTTCGACCTGAATCTTATTCATTACATTAAATTAATATACTAACTGTCATATCCACATACTCGTCTCAACAATTATTCAAATATAATACATCAAACCCTAAACCTTTACATTACCTTCATTATAAATTAAAATTAAAAAATTTTATAATTCAAATTTTTTTTTTTTTGCAAAAATTACTCTTGAAATTTTGAATTGGGAAAAATGAAATTATCCAAGATTTTGATTATTGGTATCGTCTTATCAGCATGTTCCATTTTGTCGGTGAACGGAGAAATTCAAGACGATAATGAAAATAAAGTTAAACGTGAAGATTTCAGACCAGGTCAAATTAGAGGTAGGCATCGTCGTAAAATCGGAGGCTCTCATGAGAAACGTCAAGAGTACAGACCAGTTAAATCTGGACGTGCGATTAATCGTAATGACGGAAACCAAGGCGGAGGCTCTCGTGAGAAACGTCAAGAGTACAGACCACCAGTTAGATCGAGACCTACGGTTCATCGTAATGACGGAAACCAAGGTGGAGGCTCTCATGAGAAACGTCAAGAGTACAGACCAGTTAAATCGGGACGTACGATTCATCGTAATGACGGAGGAGG